TTCTCCCTTTCTTCCACCCCGCCTGCCTCCACTCTCTCTAGAAATCAATGGAAAAAATATTGTCAGGTGAGGATTAACAAACAAACAAGAAAAGAATTGCTTCCAACCTTGGCCAGGTGTCTCGGTTGGAGTGTTGTTCCACACACCAAAATGGTTGCGGGTTCAATTCCCAGTCAGGGCACATACCTTGGTTGCGGGTTCAATCCCCAGTTGGGGTGCATTTGGGAGGCAACTGATCGATGTTTCTCTCTCACATCTATGTTTCTCTTTCTAAAAATCAATAATAAATAAAAGGTCTGAGCTGGCGGGAGATCACATCCACAACACAAGGCCGATGTAGAGCAAAATGGCTTTATTGCATGCACCTGGGTGCAGGTGGGCTGAGCCGAGAAGGGTTCAGCCTCGAATCAGGGTTGGGGTGTTGGTGATATACCCTACTTTTAGTTTCTGGCCGTTCCTGCTGATGTATTTTATCTGGCCCATTGCCCACTTTGCAGTAGGGCTGGTCTGGTATCTTGTCTGGCATCTGCTGGGTTATCTATCCACTGACTTGCGGACAACCCAGATAAACCTTATTCATACTCAACAAAAGGCCAAGCAAAGGTCATGCAAGCAACACAATTTCCACAGTTTCGCCTTTTGCAAACTTTTACCTTTACCCAACATGACTAACCCTTTCCATAAACAGCCTTTTTTCTCTGCTTTTTAAATATTTTTATTGATTTTTTAGAGAGGAAGGGAGAGAGAGAGAAAAACATCCATGCGAGAGAGGAACATTGATCGACTGCCTCCTGCACACCCCCTACTGGGGATCAAGCCCACAACTCCAGGCACGTGCCCAGACCTGGACTCCAACTGGGACCTCTCAGCCCCTGGGACGATGCTCAGTCCACTGACCCACGCTGGCCTGGCTATGTCATTCACTTTTACAAACAACACGCAAGGGACTGGGCTTCCTTTATGAAGAGAAGGGAACCGAGTCTCAGGAAGGGCAGGTAACTTGCCCAGCGCCTCACAGCTAGTAAGTGGCAGAGTCAGGATTTGAATTTAGTTTTGTGAGGCTTTAAAGCTCATATTGTCAATTCTGCGCACCTCTTCCCCACCAGAGGGCGAGGATCATCTTACCCCGACTTCCCTGCCATGGCCGTCTTGCTCTCTCCCAGGGAGCCCCTCAGCTGAGCAGCTGGGAAGCCAGCGGGCTGCCACTAGGTTTCACTTCATCTTCAGTGGCGGGCACCCGTCGGGAAACCACACGAGTGGCCTCAGCCCCAGTACGAAAGCCACTGACAAAGTGCCGAGTCCCCCAGCAAGGACCAAGAACTACCCTGTGTCTTCCCCTGGAAAACCATGTGACACAAAGCTCGTTTGAATCCTCTTACACCTGGCGCAGGTGTGCCCAGGACTGACAGGAGTAAATGAGGCGCGTGGAGGGTGGAGGTCTCAGGGTTAGCCAGAGGGAATTCCAGATCCTTTCCCCTAAGTTTCCTGGAGCTGCAACATCTCCCCACCTCAGGTGTCCACAGGGCTAGGAGGGCAGACGAGAGGTGCCGCGGCCCCACGTGAGATCCCCAAAATGACTGTCATCACCCCTTGCAGTCCCAGAGCACAGTATGGTTCATACCCGGTCTTCCTTGGGTCTTGAGACAGCCCTGGGTCCAGGTGAGCTTCCTTTACAGCTGAGCTGGCCAAGGACAGTGACTCAGCAAAGGCTCCTCCGAGGCCAGAGCCAGCTTCCCTCACTCCCTGTCCAAGGCTCTGTCTACCTTCTTACATGATTGGCAGCTGGGTACAATTCTCCGTAGCCCTGTCTCCCTCAGATCATCTGTAACTAGAGTCTTCCTCTCCCTTCCTCCTTCCCGCCCTTCAACCTCTGCTAACTTCATCCATAATTTGGGATGAGTCAACATTCCGGTAGGTACTTTATTTTACTCCTCTTGTTTGCGGTAGACTTTGCTACCCCAAAGCATGCTTTTTAGGATACTGATTCTTTTAAGCTTGTAATTTACAAGAAACAGAAGACTCCTTTGACCACCCTAACGGCCAATTTAGAGGACCTGCTCCAAGAAGGAAGCTATTATCATAGATAACTATAGTTTGAGAGAGAGAGAGAGAGAGAGAGAGAGAGAGAGAGAGAGAGAGGCATTGATGTTTGAGACACACATTGACTGGTTGTCTCCCGCACGACGTGACCAGGACCAGGGACGAACCGCAACCGAGGTACATGCCCCTGACTGGAATCGAACCCAAGACTCTGGTTCGCAGGCCAATGCTCTACCCGCTGAGCCAAACCAGCCAGGGCTTCTGTGTCCCCTTCTTAAAGATGGCCTATTGAACATTTATTTCCCAAACGTTTGCTTTTCCATCTCCATGTGAATTGCCTACCTCCCCTTTGAGGTCCCAAACCACTCCCGCCCCACCTGTGATTTGTCCTTGAGTCTCACATTTTTTTTTTTTATCCTCACTCGAGGACATTTTTCCATTTTTTGTTCAGATAGAGTGGGAGGGATAGAGAGGGAGAGAGAGAGAGAGAGAGAGAGAGAGAGAGAGAGAGAGAGAGAGAAACATCGATGTGAAAGGGACACATCGAGTGGCTGCCTCCTGCATGACCCAACCAGGGCCGGGGACAAACTGCAACTGAGGTACGTGCCCTTAGCGGGAACCGAACCCGGGTCTCTCTGGGCCACAGGCTGATGCTTTAACTGCTGAGCCAAACCAGCCAGGGCGAGTCTCATATTCTTATAGCACCTCAAAGTGTATATCTGCAATACATTTGGTTATTTTCTCCTGTTAATCTGTGTCATGTTAATTTGATTAGTAGCCCAGCCAGAACCTAGAAAGGTGGGGGAAATTCTCATTTTTCATCCCCTACGCTGTCCTGTTTTTAAAAAACACAAACTAACAAAATAAATAAATAAATAAAAATAAATAAATAAATAAAAAACACAAACTACCAGCGTTTATGAAGTTTCTTCTGTGTTCCAGGAAGGATGTGCTGAGTGCCTTCCCTGGATATTTGTATCATTTTATAGCTGAGGGGACAGGCGTGTACGGACGTGATGTTACCCACGCAAGGTGACCTGGTGAGTAATTGGCAGTGATGCAGGCATCCTGGGGGCCCAGGGACCTCCGGGTCCGAGACCTACTGTGGATTCTTGGCTCCACTCAGGAAAGAATTCTAAATCAAGCCAGCAGAGAGTTTACATGAAAGTGAGTTTATTAGTGAAACAGTGAGACAGAGAATGGGCTACTCCAAAGACAGAGCAGCCCCCCTTTAGAGGAATGTGCTTCATTTCTGAGGTTTGTCTAATGGGGGGTAGAGTATTCGGTGAGGGGGAGGAATATTTAGGATCTTCCTGGGGGGGGGGGCGGGGATGGAGATTCCTTTGCGGAGTTTCTTCGCCCATTTTGTGTTCTTATATGAGCTTTCCGCTTTCGATCATGGCAGCTCTGGGCGTGTCGTTTAGCAATGAGAGTATAACGAGGGTTACCATCAGGTGACATTAATGGCCGTGTTGGATTGAGCTGGTCGCTGCTGGTTTTAAGCCATAAATTCGGGGTGTGTGTGTGTGTGTGTGTGTGTGTGTGTGGTCTTGCTATCTTCTTGACAGCCCTGTGGCTTTTATTGATGGTAGCTATTCTGCCACATGCCCTATCTCAGCAGAGATAAGATTGGATTTGAATACAAGTAGCCGGACCTCAAAGTGAGAATTTTTCTTGTCTCTCCAGCTACGCCAACACCCCGCCTTGATCAGAATTCTGGTGCCTGGCACACACATGGCACGCCATAAGCCCGGTGGTTTGGTGCCCTCTTGGGGCAGTCAGCAATGTTGCTGGTCTCCAGGAAGGTGGCACAGCTTTGAGTCTGGCTTTCAGCCCAGTAAGGCGTGAGCGAGGGCCCAGATCCAGTACTGGTCCCCTCCCAGCTCCCACGTTCCTCTTTGCAAAGTGGGCGTAATAATACCCACCTCGAAGTGTTTCCTGCGTTTCGAATGAGGCTAAGGTAAGGAAGCACTAGTACACGACCTACCGCCTGTCTTTTATTTTTCGCCCGAAACAGGCAGTGCAGCAAAAATGGGGAAGAGCATACATTTCTGGAACAGAGCTGCTTGCCTCCAATGTTGTGTGACCGTGGGCAAGTCTCTTAACCTCTATGTGCCTTGATGTTCTCACCTGTAAAATCACTACAATAATAGAACCTACTATCCTCAGGAGATGATATTCAAAGAGACTGTGCATATTGACTGTTGAGTGCCAGTGCCTGGCACAGCACATGGCAGAGAATAGGGTCTCAATAAAGAGAAGGAGTGGATAAGTAGCTAAGTAGGACCCCTGGCACAAATAAGTACCAACAGGTATGTATGGGCAATTATCAGTTGTATTATCCTTGTTATTATCTCGCCCAGGCATATCGCCCCTCTGGCAAGACCAAAGCAGTTTTCGTCTGCTCCGAATCTCTCCTGGTTTTTACTTCCTCTCCATCCACCCTTCCATCCAGCCTGACTCAGGTGGGAGGTGGCGGGAATCCTGTGGACAGGGACAAAATCAATGATGCCTTCCCCCTCCAGGGTCGATGTTTCAAACCGCACTGGTCGCCTGGATTCATATAGTCTCTCTCTCTTTCTCTCTATCTCTCTCTCTCTCTCACACACACACACACACACACCACACGAGTCAGGAAAAGCACAACAAACAGACGCACCAGAGGCTCCTAAAGAAGCATATTTGTCTAGGAGCTAGAGGTTTTGTAATTCACAGTGCAGACTGACTTTTGTCAATAATTATCCACTCCTTCCAGAGGTCATGCAAAAACGAATGCGTGTTTGTTGTGGGTGAGAGCGTGTGCATGTCATGCATGCAGTGGGTGTGGGAGAGCAGTCAAATAGGAAGCGCCCTGGCATTTATATCGAACTGTATGCTGGTTTGAATTACCCACTAGGAAATATGTACCGTAGAGTATGATTAATCCAGGCTCATTGAAAGTGTGTCAGGGCTGTTTCCCCCTCCCTTCTTGGCTCCCCGTTCATATAACCCAGGCTGCCTCCAGCCAGCCTTTCCCCACTTGTCCTGAGAGCAAAAAGGTGCAGCGGAGTCTCTGAAAATGAGCACTTTCTCCTCCGCGACGGTGTGGCTCTGCTTGGCTGCAGCAGTAGCGGCGCTGGGAGGGCTAGTTCTTTGCAAACTCAGCCCAGGACAGGGGGGGAGAAAGGTGGTCTGCCTGGCGGGCCTCTGGGGAGGGGCTTGCCTGCTCAGCCTGTCCCTCTTCTGGGGCTTGGTCTTCTTCTCCTTGTCCTGTTTCATCTTGTATCTTTACTTATCCAGCCAAGAGTTGTTACCTGTGGACCAAAAGGCTGTGCTAATCACAGGTAAGCGGATGACACTGCGGTTCCCACTCAAGGCAGGATCGGGCACCGACTGAAAAGTGGGACTTTTTCAGATTTGGTTTAAAAATAAAACGCTTGGGGTGGAGTAAATGAAAGCACGTGCCCAAGTGGTCTCTACTACATTGTTTTGGTTTGCTTCCTTCAGGAGGTGTACTCAAGAGGGACAGGGAAAGCGAGAGTATCTAAGCCACGATTTTCTTAATTCCTTAGGATAAAGATGAATACGCAAACCTATGGTATTTAATGTGTTTCATTGTATCCTGCAAAATTCCCTACGTTTCTTTAGGCTTAAACGGAATTTTGCTCTGAGATTAACGTTCGGCTGTGTTCTAGACTTTGGCTCTGAGTCTCTAGCTGTGTAAGAAAATTTGCAAAGCCCGGTTGTCTTTGTGTTTTTTTAAATACAGGGGTGGGCAAAAGTAGGCTTACAGTTGCACTGTGATATCCTTTTGCGGTAATAAAGCTATTGTCATCATCATAACCTGCATGTCTTTTTCCATACAAACAACTCTGAACCTACCTTCGCCCACCCATGTATGGAAGAGTCTCATCAGGGCTGGAGATTTGGCAGCTTGCCTGGCTGCTGTCAAGAATGTCACCTCATCTGAACCTTTGTCATTAGACCACTAACATCCCTTAATTGGATTATTCTGGCAGTGTGTCCGGGAGGCAGTTGCTTGTTAGCTGAGCTGCCAGCTTCTTTCTTCTTTTGTCTTTCTCTTTCCGCTGCGAGTGCGAAGCCAATTTAAATTCCTGTGGTTTGTAAAACTGGTTTGTTGGGTTGTGAAGTTTGAACTCTGGATGGGGCTTTAAGTGGGATTACCCAGTATTATCCGAACGCAGAAAAAAATCCTGCCAAGAAAGAACACCAGCTGCAGAATCATTTGCTGGGATGTCACACCCCGTGGCTACACCTGCTGGGGGTGCAGGCAAACACGGGGTGTGGATGGAGGAGAGGCGAGGTTTTCCCCATTCGCAGAGAAATAGACTCTAAAGTGGCTTGTCTATTTTGCCTTTTACTGTAATCCAATGATGAAATCCTCTCTCGAAACGAAATGCAGGTTGGCACTTGTTGGAATTTTGAAGCGCTGGGGAAAACGAGCTTCTTCAAAAATAAAACAAGCCCCATCCCCAAACAATGGGATGTTTATCTACATGAATGTCCAGTATTACCAGGAATCATGCATGTAGAAGACTGGCAGGGTTTTCTGCGTTTTCACTAGAATTCTCTGGGTGGGCTGGGGGGAAGCTGTAACAGTCCGTCTGTTCTGTGTGCAGTACCAAGTACCCATGGTCTTCAGAATAATTCCAGGTCGCCCTGGCCGGTTTGGCTCAGCGGTTAGAGTGTCGGCCTGCGGTCCTGAGAGACCCGGGTTCGGTTCCCGCTAAGGGCACATACTTCAGTTGCAGTTTGTCCCCGGCCCTGGTCAGTTGTGTGGATGGCAGCCACTCGATGTGTTCCTTTCACATCGATGTTTCTCTCTCTCTCTGTTCCTCTCTCTCCCTCCCACTCTACCTGAACAAAAAATGGAAAAATGTCCTCGGGTGAGGAAAAAAAAACAAAAACAAAGAATAATTCCAGGTCAAATTTAGTTTCTGTACTTTTCCACTTGTGTGAAAGAAGACAACAAGCATGTTAAAATGATGAGAGCAATGCTGTGGTTGACAGTAATGGGACGTGACCTCCTGGAGGTCCCAACATTCCTGGGGAATTAATTTCAGGGAGCAGCACTTTCGAGGCTAGTAAATAAGAAGACTAAAGCTTAGGATGCGCCCGGGCAAACGTCAAGGTAACGGGAAAAACAGGCATGCTCTCTGCTCCATTATCTTGTCAGTGTTCTTCACCCTCTACTTTTGCAGATGTAGGCAAGCAGACATGCTCACAAAATACACACCCAAGTCAGTTAGCCCAAATCAGCCATTGAAAAGTCCTGACTTGTGTTTAGTGTTACGGAGAATGACTGATTCAGTTAGGCAACTCAAGCCCAATAACAAATCCCTCAATGACATGCTTAGCAATTAGAAAGCTTAGAATTCATAAAGGAAACACATCTTTTTAGGGGGACTAAAATGTCCTGTTCTGCTCGTCATGAGGAATGCCACAGGTTCAATATAATTCTAAAGAAGGTTTCATGAACTTTGTACTAAATGGAGAAGTTGAAAATTATTTTATTTGGATAGCTCAGAACTCATTAAAAAATAAGTCACCGTAACTGGGAATAACCTTTGTTTCAGGATGGTGTATGTTATAAAGTGGTAAACATTTTAGTGAGTGGGGCAACTGGGAGAAATATGGCAGTGTACATAAATATTATTCTTTCATTTGATCATTTAAGATTTGGAAATTTCCTTTTTTTTTTCTTATCCTCACCTGAGGATATTTTTTTTGTTGTTCAGATAGAGTGGGAGGGAGAGAGTGGGGGGAGAGAGAGAGAGAGAGAGAGAGAGAGAGAGAGAAACATTGACGTGAAAGGGACACATTGAGTGGTTGCCACCTGCATGACCCAACCAGGCCTGGGGACAAACTGCAACCGAGGTACATGCCCTTAGCGGGAACTGAACCCGGGTCTCTCTGGACCGCAGGCCGACGCTCTAATCACTGAGCCAAACCGGCCAGGGCAGAAATTTCTTTTAAAGAATCTGAAATATGTAAAAAGGGTAGATGCCCAACAAAATGTCATAGTCACAAAGTTGTTCAGCACAATCTTATTTGCAACAGAGATATATCAAAAGCAATCAAAATAGTGACAAATTGCCCTGGCCAGTTTGACTCAGTGATTAGAGCGTCGGCCTGTGGACCAGAGAGTCCTAGGTGCGGTTCCTGCTAAGGGCACTTACCTCGGTTGGAGTTTGTCCCCAGCACTGGTTGGGGTCGGGTGGGTGGCAGCTACTCAATGTGTCCCTCTCATATCCGATGTCTCTCTCTCTCTTTCTTCCTCTCTTTCTCCCTTCCGCTCTATCTGATGATAAATGCAAAAATGTCTTCGGGTAAGGATAAAAAAATAAATAAACAATAGTGACAAATTACAGTATATACTCTGGCTAGAACAATGTGTAAAATTTATTTATTTATTTATTGTTTCCTCACCCAAGGACATTTTTCCATTTTTTTGTTCAGGTAGAGTGGGAGGGTGAGAGAGGAACAGAGAGAGAGAGAGAGAGAAACATCGATGTGAAAGGAACACATCGAGTGGCTGCCACCCACACAACCAACCAGGGCCGGGGACAAACTGCAACCGAGGTACATGCCCTTAGCGGGAACCGAACCCAGGTCTCTCCAGACCGCAGGCCGACGCTCTAACCGCTGAGCCAAACTGGCCAGGGCGACAATGTGTAACATTTAAAAATGACAATCACAGGACCATGTTACACCATAGAAAACTAGGTTAAATGGAAACATGCAAGAGATCCAGGTGTTTGAGCAAGTCTGTAACTATGTCACATGAATTAAAACAAAACACTGTAAGAAAATAGTTTGTAAAAAAATGGCTGGATTAGGGTACTAGATGTATTTCCTATAGGTTCTCTAATGTAGTTATATTACTTTATATATATATTTCCTTTTTAGATATTAAATATAAATATTTATATATTTTTTCTTAAAAAATTTTTTTATTGAATGTATTGGGGCGACATTGGTTAATAAAATTATACAGGTTTCAGGTGTACAATTCTAAATACATCATCTGTATATTGTATTGTGTGTTCACCACCACAAGTCAGGTCTCCTTCCATCACCATTTATCCCCCCTTTATCTACCTCCTCCACCCCCCCCTTTCCTCTGGTAATCACCATACTGTCTTTCTTATTCCCTTCGCCTTGTTCACCCAGCCCCTCCACCCCCTCCCCTCTGACAGCTGTCAGGCTGTTCTCTGTATCTATGAGTCTGTTTGTATTTTGTTAGTTTATTTTGTTCACTAGATTCCACATGTAAGTGAAATTACATGGTACGTATCTTTTGTGTCTTTATCCCATTGAAAGGATGAAATCCATTTAACTATGGACCCAGGTGTAGGACAATTATGAGGACAAGTTAAAAAAAACACAACTTTTTTCTGAGCCACTTATGTCATTTTGCTAAAATATTTCAAGGTCTTTTGTCTCAGAAACATGTAGTACAAAGAAGAAATAAGCAAGTACAGTGTTTGAACACATATTTGTTTTCAAGTTACCTAAAGCTACAGGGGCCATTTAATTTTTTATTATTTATTTATTTATTCCCTTTGTTTTTCCACTTCTACTGGTTTTTTCCCCCCAATTTTTATTAATTTATTTTTGTTACAGATGTTTCTCCTTCCCCCCAGACCCCCTGTTCCCCATCCTGCCCCCCCACCCCCTAGCATTGTTGTCTGTGTCCATTGGTTACGCATGCGTGCATATAAGTTCTTTGGTTCATCTCATCCCTCCCCCTGCCCCCCTGCTCTGAGGTTTGTCAGTCTGAACCGTACACCTTTCTTTCTTTTTCTTTTTTTTTATCCTCACCTGAGGACATTTTTCCATTTTTTTGTTCAGATAGAGTGGGAGGGAGAGAGAGGAAGAGAGAGAGAGAGAGAAACATCGACGTGAAAGGGACACATCGAGTGGCTGCCACCCGCACGACCAACCAGGGTCGGGGACATGAACCATACACCTTTCTATGTCTCTGGGTCTATTTCGTTCATCAGCCCACCTTGTTCATTATATTCCACAATTAAGTGATTTGGCATCTGCCGTGAGCAGGGCGCACACCTGGAGGGCATCACAGTCCGATGGGAGAGATTCCGCCACGTGGCTGTGAGCCCAGTGATAGGGTGCAGAGGGCGCGCCGGGAGGGTTCCTGAAGAGGGGCGGAGCTCAAGGTGGGCGCAGCTCCTGTGCTGGGGGCTGGGAGAACTTGACAAAGGAGGGCCCTCCTGAGGAATTAAAAAGTAGCTTTCTAGAGGGAACACAGTCTTCCAGGCTAATTGGTCTAATTGGTCAGGCAGCTCCTATGCACACAGCT